CGGGAGAGGGAAAGATATCACCTAATGTACAAAACAAATTGAATTGGTGAAAGACTAAACCATGTAGCCATAATTCTTCAAGTAGATTGATAATGATGATTCAATTCTCTTGATTCATGATAAAGGTTTCTACAAAGGATAACACACCTCTTATAAGAAAACTTAGCTCAAAACTCATTCAATTGTTTAAGATTTGTAAAAGTTTAATTCTCTCTAAGTTTTAAAAATGAAAAACCTTATATAAGGTTTTCTTTATGAAATAATCAATTATTTTGATAAATAATCGATTATTTTATTCTTCATAAATATGGAAACCCACAAAGAACAATTAATTGATTATTTCTAGTGATAATCAATTATTCCATTAGTCATTTATGAAATAATCGATTATTTAGCCAAATAATTGATTATTTTCGCAACTATTTTCATCTTACTTAAAAACGGAAAATAATCGATTATTACTAAAAATAATTGATTATTTTGAATAAAAACTCAATACTTTGATTTTTCACTCTAGATCTTTACTAAATCAATTTTTAAACCTCACTATTATTAGTCTAAATCATCAATGATCAACTTATATGAAGAATAATCGACTAGGAAAAATTTAGAACTTCATATTGATCTTGATCAACACAATAGACTTAACTTATTCATAATTTCAGTCTTTCCTTTGATATATTTATTATCTGAAATAGTATTTGTATTGAAAGATCAAGTAATATTAAGTTGAGTTTAATTTTTATTTACTATTATGAATCAACAAAGATTACAATGTACATAACTTTTAAAATATTGTTTTTTAGTACATAAAGTGGGAAAAAGAAAGAAAAAAGAATATGAAGAAATTTAAGAACCAACTAAATATGCAAACGGGTCAACTCACTAACATCAACTACCAATAGAGAGCTAAATAAAGTAGATTCAACTACTAAAATCGTAAGGTCCTCATGAGACGACACACTATATTTGACCAAAGCATCTGCATTTATGTTACCCTCCTAAAAAATATGTGACAAAAAGCAATCCCAACTTCTATCTAAAAGACTATGAATTTTCACTAACTTTTAAAATAATTTTTATAAAAATCTACAAACTTATTAAATACAATATCTCATAATTGATTAATAGTATAAAAATCCTTTACCGATCACGTGCATTCATTATATTACTCTATTAGTTTTCCTCTTTTAAAATGAAATTCATATAAATTTATAATATATTTCCTCTAGAAATATATTAGAGAGAAAAATGCTTAAATTTTAAATATAAATTAATTTTTAGTAATCCAGCTTTTTTAATATTCTTATTTCAAAAGTACTCCAAAGACAATTAATAAGAATATTATCTATAATATACATGATTAAAGATATTTTAAAAATAGTATATATTTTATATAAAATTATGAAAATTAAATAAATTTAATTAATTTTTTAATGCATATGAAGTTAAGATTTTCTTTCTTATATAAGTTTGAAAGAAGTAATATATAAAAAGTTAATCACTTATATACTGTCAGTAAAAAAGATTTATACTGACAACTAATCATATCTCTTAATAGTATCATATTATTTGCTCATTTAATTAAATAAAAATAAAATAAAATAATTTAAAAGAAATGATTGATTGTCGGTATATCCTAATAATGTAAGAAAAATTATCTTATATATAAATGAGAAGCTATTATAAAAAGATGAACGAATATCAGCTCCTGTGGGCTTTTTGAGGCCATGCACCTATCGTCATTCAAGGGGAAGCTTTTCTCTCAATTTATTATGTAAAATATAAAAAGCTTTTATTAATTGGCGAAACAAATAATGAGAGGAAAATGATAGAGCAATCCATGTTACTGAAGCATATTCATATTAATCATTACATCAACTTGTGGCATCTGATTTATCATACGCCAGAGGCACAAATCCAGTGTACAAAAAACACATATTCACACCAAATTGTCTTCGTTTACATAATTGAATTTCTTCACACACCCGTAAACCAAAAAACACTACCAAACACAGAATCGGCAGGAAAAAGATAAAAAGCAAAACATGGCCATAAAGAAACCTGACACACTATCTCTCTTTTCACTGCCGATGACACAATAAATAAAACAAAACAAAGGACACCGTACTGTCAGCAATTTAATATTCTTCACTTTTCTTAAACTTCATGCGACTGCATTGTGAGTCTTAATTGAGTTCTCAACCAGTCTCTCCCTCGCTTTAGTTGCCTGCAACAACCACAGAAAAGAGTCATTTATTACTGCCTATTTGTGTGGTCTCTCAATTATTGAGATCATTCACACATTGCACCAGAAATTGCTACCTAGTTTACGGACAAGTGTTATGATTGATTTATAAGATATGTATTTAAGTTTTTTAATCTATAAAAAAGTTAATAATATTTAATTTCATGTCATAAATTAAAAATAATTACATAGTCTAAGATTATTTAATAATTTTTTTTTATATTTTCCTTGCAAAAGTTTGCAAAAATGACCAATGGAAAAATATATACATGAAAAGTAATACGAACCTCTTTCTGCCAATCTGTTAGTGATGTTACAATAGCAAGAATAATTACTTGTGAAACAGACCCTGATAGAGTTCCCATCCAAAGCCCCTTGGCTTTCAGTTGCAGATGAAAACCCAAATACAAACCCATAGGAATTCCAATTAGATAATAGGCTCCCAAGTTCACATAAGCCCCTATTTGCTGAAATCCTCCACCTCTAGCAATGCCTGCACATAGATAGTATTATATTTAGTATTCAAACTAAATTACTTTAATTGAAGTACTCTAACATATATAAGTTGCACCCTTAAAAAATGACTTTGATAAAAGTGGTCCAAACAGATACCAAAGTTGCTCCCTAACAGATGACTTTAATTGAATTTGTCTAACAGATATCCAAGTTGCATCGCAAGAAGCCCAACAAATATGTATAAGATATTGGACTCACCGGAAAGTGCTCCAATGAGACTATCGGCAGTAACAGACACACAAAGAAGGGGAGCCATGTTGGCAACGTAATCCACAACTTCCATATCATTGCTATACGCGTATCCTAATATTTGTCGGCAACTAATGAAGATAGTGCTCACAATAACTGCCTCCACAACCCCAAGAATCACCACAACACGAACAGCACCTTTAGCTGTCTTTGGATTCCCTGCCCCTAGTTCATTTGAAACCCGAGTACTGCAAAACAAACATCACATTAATTCAGAAGATTCTTCTTGGTATATGATAATCTAGGAGTAGAAATACTAGCACACACTCTTAAATTTTGGAAGACTTGTTTTTTATTTAAAGTGCCTCATTTAATAAATTTTTATTGTTAGTTTAAAGTGTCTTGGAAATGACGTGGTAGCAAGTGTAATACTTATACTAAGGACATATTGGAACCATACCTTGCAGAAGCTCCAACAGCGTAAGGAATAAAGTAGTGCAATGTAGTTGTGTTAAGGCTACAAGAGAATGATTAAAGTTAGAATATCATCATTGGTTATTTCAGTAATAAAGGAAGAGAAATGATTCCACGCACCACACTGAAAGAACCGCAGTTTCAAGTTGAGGATTAGGCAAAAGCCCCGCAAGTAATGTAAGCACCTCGAAGGACCACCATTCAAAACTATGTACACAAATAAACGTGAAAATGTAACATTAGGAGAAGAAAAGAAGCAGCATATAATAGTTAAGATACAAAGTTATATGACATATATGTATATATTTACCAAAACATGAGTCCAGAAGGGATAGCATATTTCAAGAACTCTGGAATGCTAAGTAAAGCATTACTAGAAAACGCAATCCTGGTTTTTTGACAAGTTGGAGAGTAGTACATATAAATTGCAAGCCAAACCACATTCAACCAATATGAAAGTCCAATAGCTAATGCAGCTCCAACGTGTCCTAGGCCAAACTTAAAGACCAGAACCCAACAAATAGGAACATGCAAACACAGTGCTGTAATTGAGCTGAAAACCATGGGAAAGATCATACTCTGAGTCTGGTAGTAGCGTGTGAGGGCTTGAAGCACAGCGTGGCCAAATAGACCCGGAATGAGGTATATGCAGTACTCACGAGCTGCATGAGAAATTTCAGGGTCTTGACTAAACAACATGAGTATTTTATCAGTGAATATCCACACCAGAGATATGGGGAGACAAACCAATATCAGAGTCACGGTCGCACACCATGTGTAGTTTCCAAACTTTCTATACTCCTCCGCACCATATGTTTGACCACATAAAGTTTCCAATGCCCCAGACATTCCCAACTGCAAAACACATTTTCAAAATACACACCATCAATAACATTCACTTACTACAGGAACTAGCTAGTTGAAAAGGACAGGGTAGGTACACACAAAGATAAAGATAATGAATGTTGGAATTTTCAAGCTCTCTCAAATTTTAACTGTTTGTACAGATCCAGTCTCACAAAAACATCAATGGTCAAAAAGGATGCTATTTGATACACAAAGACAAATCAAGAAACTATAAAAAGTCCAATCCACCCCTCAAAATCTGTTTTTGACTGGCTTATGAATTGGCTAGCTAGAAAACCAGGTAAATCAATTAAGAATGAACCTAAAGGATGGCCCATTATGATTTTACACGTGATCCGGCTAATACTAGGTACTAATTAACTAGATCAAGTGCCCTTTTGGAGAATCAGAAAAAAAAAAAGTTTCTAAAAAAATAGAATACATGATATATGTGTAGAAAATTGATACTTGAATCCGCAGAAAAGGTAAATGAGACTTTTTTAGATTTGAAAAAGGAGAAAAGCAATGAATAAAAAAGAGAGAAGAAAGAGTAGTTGAAATTACAAGGACACTGAAGCCGGTAACTTCAGCAAAAGAAGTGGCAATAGCAACCCCAGAGAAGGAAACAAGAATCCCAAGATGTCCCACCATCATGAGCGACACAACTTGCAGAAGATACTGCGATACCGTGACAGCCACCATTGGAGCCGCCATGGAGCTTACCCTCTTCAACTCTTGGCAGAATGTATTCCCCGGTGACTCTGCTCCATTGTTATTCTCTTGTTCACTAGACTTTCTCAGAAGTGGTGCTAACACCTCCTTGCTCATCTCTCTAGAGTTTTCCATATTCAACACTGTTCATATGTGTTGTGAAGAGAGGAATGATTATATAGGAGTAGAGAGTCCACAAAGTCTTTCTTTCTTCTTCCTCTTTTACTACCAAACCGCAAATTGTTCTTTTTTTATGGTCAATCAGGCGGCGACACCACTGCAAACTGCAAATAAACAAAACACATGCATCATGAAAGAGAAATTAATATAAGATGTGCACTATATCACCTTCCTCGTGGTCTCGAGTTCTCGCATATCTTAATATATATATTTTTTAATTATATTGGTTATCCTCGAAATTGATACACATTAAATTTTTTTTTTTTTAAGTTGACGTCAAGAATGTTAGAGAGTATTTAGTTCATAATATATTTTTTCATATCTTCATATGATAAATTCTGGTATTATAATTTCTTTAGTTAATCATAAATATTTTTAAATATTATATGTGAATTTATTTTATTTTATTTTATTTAAATAAATAAATAAAAATAACATGATGTTTTTGTTGTATTAAAAAAATATTATTTCGAGAAAATTCTAATACACTAAAACATCATGTTATCTTATTTAATATAGTAAAAATATTTTGGTAACATTTATATATATATTTTTTAAAATATTTATTACCAATCAAACTGAATGGTATGATTTCAAAGAATTATGATCTTTAGGCATGAGAATAATGATTTTTAATGTGATAAAAATGTTGTATTACTCTTATTTGCTTATTTAATGTCGTAAAAATCATCGATTTATAAATATTCTTAAAAATATGTATAACCAGTTAAACAAAATTTTATGATTACTAAAAAAACATGATTTTTAGAATCATTATTCTCAAGCATCAAAGTCATTAATTTTTTAGTGCAGTAAAAATATCATGTTATTTTTATTGGCTTATTTAATGTTGTAAAAATCATTGATTCTCAAATAAAATTTATAAACATTCCTATGACTAACTAAATATATTTTCATGATTCATTGAAATCATGAGAATCATGATTCATGAGAATAACGAGAATCACAATTCTCAAACATGAAAAAATTTGTTGTATATCAAACACCTCTCAAGTGTTCATATTAATTTGTTGCATGCTTTCAGTCAATCAATATGACATATATTTAAATTTTTAATTTTTTAGAAAAAAGTTAATGACACTTGATTGCATGTCATATATTAAATAATAGTTAGAGACATGTGATACAAGGCCACCTAATAATTTCTGGTAACAAACAACACTTATGTTATCATCCAATATATTTGTAACATTGTGAATTTTGTAATTGTTTGATTATTTTATTAATTAAATGATTGTATGCTTTGTTATTTTAATTTTTTTAAATTTTGAGAATTTGAGAATTATTAAGAGTTTAGCTCGTTAGAAGTTGTTTTAAGTTGAGATCAAAGTTGACCAATTTTAGAGAAAGGTGTTTAAGTTTTTCTTAAAAAAACAAAACTTGATGAAATTTAAGTCCTAACAAAGTCAGAAAGAGGACTTCTAAAGCTAAAGAGAATCATTTCTTCTCCTGACTCCGCAGCATTGATCAAAATCCTTTCCTATAGTCGAGTTGTGTTGAGAGTTTGTGGGTTCAAGCTTGGAAAGCTAAGAACCAAGTGTTGGTCGTGTCGTGTGAAGGACCAGATTCTTTTTTCTCCTACTTTTTTCTTAGTGATTTGAAGTAAGGGAAGCTTATATCTCTTAGTTGAAATGTGTGACAATTCATGAGTTGTTATGTTGTTGAGATTGTTATGTTGTTAGTTGTGAGTTGTTAAGTTGTGAAGTTGTTGATAAGTTGTGTTAAACACATGTTAAGTTGATATGATGTTAAGTTGTATAATTGTGTTGTTAAGATGAAAAGATGTGTTGTATGATGAGATTGTTTTATTGTTAGCTTATATGTTTCTATATTATATGTCGAATTCTTGTCTATGAGCTTACCCTAGCATTTTTATTATTGATGGACTGAGATGGTTATATTTATATGGAAATAAGGCGTGATTAGGCAGGAGGCGAACAAAATTTTGAAGGTTATGTTAGAGATGACAATATTTGTTTTGGTTATTCTAAGACAACTATGTTTAGTTGTTTAATTGACAAGTTAAGATTTATGTTTTGAGTCTGAAGTATTGTGTGTGTGCATATATATATATATATATATATATATATTACTACATGTATATATATGAACTATTTGCATAGTAATCTTAGATAATAAAATTTATGTTTTTTGCTGCTTAGTTATTGAGCTATAAAATATAGTAATAATCTGTCTATTTGTTACAATATGCATTTGATTTTTAAATTTATAAGATATATTGATAACACTTTATTATATTTATGTGGTTTAATATCGCTTAATAATTTATTCTATACAAAACTTCAATATGATCCTTACATGTAAAAAAATTATTAAATTAGTCTTTATACATGTGGATATTATATATTACAAAAATATGTGAATGTTATTTTTTAGTTTGGTCACCATTAAATTTATAGCTAGTCTAAAACCACCAAATATAACATATGTAGATTAATTAGAAATAATATGATTGAAAATTACCTAATAATTTCACTCCCCTTACATGTTTTTAAATTTGTCCATCAATATACATATAACACGGTGTATAAGAACTAAACTAAACTAAATTAAGAATGGGTAATTTCTAACGTTATATTTGTTTTACCACAAATATTTTTAGCTCACTTAATAAAAACTAATTTTATTTATAATATTGTAACTCTCATCTGTCCAAAAACTTAAAGTTTACATGTATAGATTCGATTTAATAAATTTTTTATGTTTGCGGACTAAATTAAGAATATTTTGCATGAATGGGGAGTAAATTACACGTTGAACCTTTTGTATTTTACAATCATTTAAAAAAAAATGAAAGCATAATTTTTTTATTTAAAGAATTGTCTCTTATAAAAATTCATTCGAAGTACATTTCAAGAAAAGAAAAAGAAAAACTCTTTCTTTCTTTTTTTTTCAACTATTTATCTCATCACGAATCTTTCTTTTATTTTTTTAAATATTTTATAAGATCCAAGAGATGTATCAGAAACGAGATGGAAATCGTTATCAATAATGCAATAAAGAAAGGGAATCTGGGAAAATAAAATGCATTATCGTAGTTCATAACAGCTCTGTATATACCTTTTAGGTTTGATTAAAAAAATAAAATACTACTGTTTAGGTAAAATAAGAATAACAATATAGAACAATAATAAAAATAAGACATTTTCGTGAACATAATTTAGGAATTATTTTATCTATATAATTTTTTAAACTTATTTATATAGATTTTACTTTAAAAAATTTCTCTCTATAAGTAACCATTATTGTATTTTTAATAATCAGATATAACTTTAATTATTTATTATTTTTAAAATAATTAAGAGTTTGTACGGAAGTAATAATGATATTCTTGACAGACAGATGGCGTGAACGTTCCACCGCGCGCATCGTAAAGTTATTTATACAGTAATTTTTTAATTTTATTTTCACAAACTCAAGATAAGAATGATTTAATAATTAAATTATTTATGTAATTAAGAATATTTATAAAATCAGATTAATTACTGTAAATTTAAAATAAAAACCATTTTTTCTTATAATCAGGAAACAATGAGATGTCGCAATTTATTGCATTTTGTTATATTTTTAATTATCGTAATAAATTTAAAATTTAACATTTATTTTGACATATTTTTATTATCATCAGATAAAAAATACTTTATGCTTCAATTAAAAAATAATAGACAATTAGTATTATTAAAATAATAAATAATCAATATTATTGAATTTGAGTTTGAAGTAATATCATAGTAAGACAACAAACTCCATAAAAAAGAAATAAAGAAATATATTGGCAAGATTGTCTTTAGGTGTAATCTTCTTAATATGAATTTTTCTTGGTTCAATCATATCAATGTGTTTCGTCCTCTTATGATAAATTTGATGATTTGCAAGGTGTATAACACTTTGGCTATCATAGTGAACTTTCACAAAATTTTGTGATATACACAATTTATCAATCATCTCTTTTAACCATAAAGCTTCCTTCACCTCTCCGGTAAAAGCAATGTATTCTGCTTATGTTGTAGGCAAAGCTATTATAGGTTGTAAATTTGCTTTCCAACTAACAATAATTCCAAACAAAGTGAATACCTAAATAAAGATTTTTTGGTATTCATATTTCCTGCATAGTCTACATTAATATACCTCATGATAGCTTCTCCATCTTGAATTGTCTTCTTATACCTCAAACCAAATTCTTTTAGAACCATTAAAATACCTCAGTACCCACTTCAAAGCCTCCTAGTGAGCTTAACTCGGATTTGCCATAAATCGGCTAACAATGCTAATAGCATAAGCCAAATCATATATGCTAGAAACCATGCCATACATGATACTCCCTACTCGACTTGCATATGGAATAGTACACATTTCCCTCCTTTCCTCTTAGTGCTAGGAGCTTATGTGATAGAAAGCTTTGTGTGATAACCCAAAGGAGTTCTAACAGGTTTAGATTGATCCTAAACCTCTCCACTATCTTTTGTATGTATCCATGTTGAGATAAGAACAATTCTCCCTCTAACTTGTTTCTCACAATACCAATCCCAAGTATTCATTTAGAAGCACCGATATATTTCATGTCAAACGCATAATTTAATTTCCCTTTGAACATATCAATCTCATCATTGTTAGAGCTTCTTACAAAGATATCATCCACATATAGCAAAAATAAAAGAACACATATTTCTCCTATTTTCAATATGTAAATGTAGTTGTCATATTTTTAATTAACGATTATTATTGCACTTTATTTTCTAAAGTAAAATTTTACAATTTAACAATTTTTAGTTTGATTTTTTATTATATATGTAAAATATTTTAAAATTACATGATTGATGACCTATTTAAGTCAACATATTATAATTTTCATTTTATATTAAATGATATATTTATTATTTCTAAATAAATAATTTTTTATATATTATTAATATTATAATATTATTGGTGAGAGAGATTAAAATTACATAAATATGTGATACTTAAAGAACTAAAATTATTCGATTAAAAATTAAGGGAGCAAAATTGTTCAACTATATTACTTGAGAGATTAAAATTTCTCAATTAAAATTTAAGAAACTAAAATCATACAACCATGATACTTAAAGGACAAAAATACATTTATGCCTTATATATATTTTACATAAATTTAATATTTATTGTATAATATTTAATTTTTGTTATTCGCCCTCCTGAATTGGAAGCTTGATCACTTGGTCACTCTTGTGATGAGGTAAAGTCTAACAAATATTATAGCTTTGAAGCAGGGAAGCAATGGCATGGAGAGGACATCTTTCAAAAAACATAAAAGAGCTTCGGTTTTTGAAATGCCAGTCATCACCTGTAAGCTCATCTGCAAGCTTATAAATAAATATTTAGCTTTCGTTGGGCTGATTTTTCTCAGTGTTGTTTTCAATTTATATATTTTTATATGTACATTGTTTGGTTGCTTAGTTACACTTGCATCTCATGTATTTGAATATAAAAGAAAATGAGCTCTTATTCTTTTTTGATATCTCAGGTCATTTGTGGAGAGAAATTATAAGGAACTGAAGACATTGAACCCAAAATTGCCAATATTAATCAATGAGTGCAGCGGAGTCGAACCCCAATTATGGGCAAGATATGGTATCAACCATCTTAAATCCCAATTTTATATTTTTTTTATTTGAATTTGTCACCTTGTTATTTGCAGTCAAATTCTATATTATCATTACCAAGCCTTTCCCTTCCTAGTTTTATAATAAGAACTTTAAGGATTTATGTATTGACATTAGTGCACACCAAGACTGAAAATATGTTAATCTGCATTGTCCCCTTAATTTCATATTTGTCCCACAAAGTTAAGAAAAATAATAGTATTAGTAGTCGACAGAAAGTAAATTTTTAATATTATCCCAGTTTTGACTTTTATCCAAAAGCAAAATAGTGCATATTTTCTTACATACACACTGAATTTATATATTGTAGCTGAAAATTGAGCTGTATATCTGAATTGTGGGAGAATAATTTTATGGGGATGAGGTTCATGCCTTCTGCTGCAATCTGTAGGGTGCTTCATTTTTTGGGCAACATTGATACTCAAACACATCACACGTTTTTATTTTGTTGTCAGAAATACCCTCCTATTGTGAACTTCTAAACTATTGCTGAAATATATTATCATGTTATCGTTTCATTTAAAATATTTGCTCAACATTATTTCTTATGTAATGTAAACAAAATAGGTACGTGTGACAAATTTCTTAGGAGGTGAGAATCTAAAATAAGGAATATGAATATTGCACTTGCCTAACGGACGAAAGTTACATATAAAGGACCAAGTTTTGATTAGCTTCTAGCTTATGGGAGATTTTCAATTGTAAAACTCAACTGTTAAAACATTTCTAGGGCAAGAATTCTAGTTTATACATACGTGCTTAGGGAAAAATCAGACAAGGGAGCTTCTCAAAAGATTGAGATACATAAGTTAAAGGCCAAAAAGTTACAGATAATGGCCTAGTTTTGATTAGCTTAGCTTTTCAATTTTAAAAACCCATCTGTTAAAACATTTTTAGGACAAGAATTCTAGTTTACACTTTACAGATAGGTGCTTTTGGAAAAACTAGATAAGGGAGCTTGTATAAAAGTAGAGATATATAGGTTAATCTTAATATAGGCTAACAACTTGATTCTATTTTACTTATTTGATTTATTCTAGTTTTATCTAAAGTATTTGTTGAGCAATTTATTCCAACCGGCACAATGTGAATATTGTCCATCTTCGATAAGCCTTTTTTATTCTTTTATTTCTTTGATTCATTATGTTTTCACCTAAAGTATTTGTTGAGAAATTCATTTTGATATTGGCATCCGATGAATTGTTTTTCTTATTATATTTGTTGAATTTAAAATAAGAAAGAAAGTAAATAAGAACATACCCTATCGAGAACAAAAAGAAAAGTAGAAATGAGAATATCTAAAAAGAAAGTGAAACGTAAACACAAAAAAAAATGTAAGAGCAAAACAAAAAAGATTAAAAGAATGGTACACAACACATTTACATGGTTCAAATAATTTGGCTTACATCTACAAGAGAAGATAGATTTAATTGTATAAAAACAAGATTAATTATTTACAACAAAACAACTTATTATTTTTCTTAGAAATTCCTTGATCTCTCTAACCAATTATCCTTTCTTTTCTATAAATCTTCTTCCTAACTCTACGTGTTCATATTTAGTACTTTGCTTTCATGTTTTCTCTCTCTATGTTGCACTTAGAAGGACCCCCAAATATATATATATATATAAGAAATCAATGGAAATTTTATTTTGTTTCTAATTATAAGAAATGTAATTTTACTTTTAAAGTATTATTTGATAATTTAATTTTGTACCTTAATTTATTATGAGTCTAGCAGTGAATCATCCACTTATTTTTCATGAAAGTGGATGCATTTATTGGACAACTAATATGATCGTTGAAAATAAAACATAAAGAATAGGGTTTTTTGCCCAAATAAATAAATAAAAATTAAAAATATATGAAATAAATTAAAAAAGAAACTAATTAGCGGAATAGGTGATTTTAGACGACACGTGAAGTAAAAAAACGCAAGAAAATAGAACGAGTTTCAGATGGCACCCTAACCCAGACGCATTTATTGGATAATGTGGCATGCACACATAAAGCGCAGGGGGAAGAGACGTATTGCAAATGGCAAGGCCCCAACAAAGACGTGAGAAAATTGGCATACAGGAAGGCGTGTTATATAATGACCAACATCAACATAGGATACACGACAGGGAGACACATTTCGTGAATTATGAGTGCATGCATGTGCTTAAAATAGGTCACATAATAAGACCGATAATTGATGACTACTGCCACTATATAAATTGTACACCAAATGTCCTCTAGGCAAGTTCCCATCAACTTATTGACTTATATAGTACAGTAGCTGAATATTAAAGAGTAGTGAACATTTCTCGTGACGAAAACTTCACGTGCCATATATCGGGAAGAAATTAGATGGAAAATATTGAGAGAAAAAAAACTCAAATTTTATATTAATTGATTAAAAATAAGACTAACAAAAAAAAAAGTATATAAGTAAAGAGACTTTACAAGTCAATTAAATAAAGTTAAATTAAGACAAAACTCAAATTCTAAAATAATATCAAAATTATCATAAATTTTTTAAAAGGATTATCTACAATTTAATTATATACATATTAAGTTTAACGGTATTGGACATAAAATATATATTAAAAAAATTTAAATCTTAAACAAAATTGTCTCCAACAAAAATACATGTTTTTAAGAAAAAAAAATACAGTAATATATATAAAAATTAATTGTAAGTGATTTAATTTTAACAATTAAGAAATTATGAATATTAAAAAAAATAGTTATAATTACAAATGAGATTAAGTCATTTTTAAGTTTAACAATTTAATCATAAAAGCAAGATTTATGGCAGAAGATTTAGATTACTCGTTCCTGATGAAATTGAAGAAAAAAAAAATCTATTTTAGAATTAATGAATGCTTCATATTATTGTCCATTAAGTGATTGACACTAAGATAAATTAATCTTATGTCATAGCTAGGGATTACGTCCAGTGCAATAAATAACAACGTTTACACTAAATTTAAACCAAACCATTTTTTAAACACCCCCAACTACTACCACTCCAATATGTTGTGGACAAAATTCCCCATTTTATGCTCTTGCAAAAAAAAAAATCTCAACTAAATGCATATGTAGTAAACATGTCACATTAATTTTGTTATTATTTGCTATTTGAATTGATTACGGTTTTATAATGGTTAATTCATTCAATAGTTTTTATTGAACAATTATTGATGGGTCTTTAATGAGAGAAAAAACGGATCAGGAAAATTAGGCGGAGAAAAAAGAATCCATATAAACCAAAAAAATGCATACGCTCAACTTTTGTCTTTTCCTTGAGCCATGTTTATTTGGATGAAATGTTTCTCTTGAGAAAATCTGTATACAATAGTAAAACACAAGTTCTGAATTGATGGTTCTTTAAACGCTTTTTTTTCTTCTTTTCAAGTTGGTTGTGCCTAAAGGTCACATTCTCTTGAGTAGTTTCTGTTGTGCACCCATTTGAATCACATTTTAGAGTTTGAAATACCTCTTCAAGTGACTTTTTTTTAAAGCTCCATCTTTATTTAAAATAGCATGCATGACTTTTTTCTTTCACTTTATTAGAAAACTTTTATTTCTCATTTTAATGGACATAAGCTCACATTGGAAGGGTAAAAAATGATACATCCCATGCTTTTAAAACACAAAGAATAATTTTTTTAAGCATTTGTCACACACTTCAAAGGGTTTGATTTATTTCATAAACAAATAAAACATCTTTAAAATATTTGATACCTGAAGGAGTTTCAACAACAACTCATTCACCTTTGACATCAACACTTTCTCCATTGTCTATAGTGACTTTGGAGATTTGTAACTGATTTAACTCTTGAAAATTGTAACATCATGAGTCATATGATTTGTACATCCATTGTCTATGAGTCATGTCTCTTTGCTTTTGCTCATTAAAAAACACACATAGCAACAAATAAATGTTTCTCGTGTTCCTCTTCAAACTCTGCAATTTGATCTTGATGCTCCTATGGGCTTGCTTTGATTTTACAAGCCTTTCTCCCCATGACCAAACTAAGTGCAGACACTATATTCAATTTTTGGCTTAAACCAACAAAAATTTTCAATATGATTGTTCTTCTTGCCATGACAGCATGGTGAAAACTTGTTTTTTCAATCTTTTTGTTGTTATTTTCATCCTGTTTTTTTGCCTCTTGTATATGCCACAAAAACATTTTCAGTGTTTTATTTTATCCTTAAAGATCTTCTTTGTTCAATTACTTGCAAAACATTCACTTGTTATTGCAAGTATAAGCCAGATTTTTTCCTTCTGTGTCCCATGGCCTCTGGTATGAGCATGTTTCTTTCTGCATCTTACATCATTTAAAGTATGCAACTGTGGAGTTTAAGTTGAAAATTCTGATTTTGCTTGTTGAACACACTTATCGTGGGAGATTTATTCAGACCAAAAATTAAACTATTAATTTTGGTTTAAGTGAATATTGATCTTGTCAAAAGTTGACTTGCCAGATAACTTTTGATTCTGTATTGGCTAAGGCATATAATTGGGTGTAACTATTGCCGAGCATAAACTGATCTATGATATTTTCTGCTTCAGTAGACCTTTTGATGTTGCTGGAATAGTTTCTTTACTTGCTCTTGTTGTATGTGTCCCTGAACTAAAATGAAAAGATTGTGGGCTTTGTATTTATTTACTAACGATTTAAACAAGAGTTGTAATTCATATAAAGAAAAGATTGTTGTTGAAGTTTATTTGTTTCTGATTGTTATGGAAATAATGGGCTTCCGTATTTGGAAATCAGTCTTCTACATTAACATCGTAATTAGTCTTTGGTGTGGGCTGCAAATGTTATTCATTTAACATCTGTTTTGTGCTAATAGGACATTTTTTTTTCCATCTTATATGTTAGTGGTGATTTATTGGATGACATCTCATTCCCTGTGGAACGCTCCCTTTCCTAGTGATATTAGTAAACACATTTCGTACACTATTGTGA